GGAAGGTTGGGGGTGAGGGGAGGGAGAGGGAGAAGGGACTTGAAATAAGCTTGTTCCCTAACTAGAATAAAATAAAAAAAATATATATATATATCTGGCTAAATGACAAAGCAGGGGTAATACATTCCATATAGAAAAGAAATACTAACCAAAAAAAACCTTCCAATGTCCTTCAGATAGGCATCTTAAAATGTAGGTGGCAGAAGCACACTGAACTATGGGAGACAGGCTTCTTTTGGTATAGCAATCCCCGTGCTTCCTCTTAGGAAGAGCAAATCCATTGCATCACTAAGCAATGTGGGTATATAATCATAGTTCAGTACACATAAACAAGCCTGTGGGCAACACTCTGTGGACTGGCTAGTTTTATGTCACAGTTGAGAAAATGCCTCCATAAGGTCAGGCTCTAAGTGGACAAAAGGGGCATTTTCTTAATTAGTGACTGGAAAAGTTCCAGTTCATTGTGGGTGGGGCCACCCCTGGGATGCTGGTCCTGGGTTCTATACAAAAGCAGTCTGAACAAGCATGGGGAGCAAGCCAGTAAACAGCTCCCCTCCATGGCCTCTGCATCAGCTCTTGCCTCCAGGTTCCTTCACTGTCTGAGTTTCTGTCCTGACTTCCTTTAGTAATGAACTACAATGTGGAAGTGTAAGCAAAATAAACTCTTCCCTCCCCAACTTACTTTTGGTCATGCTGTTTCATCATAGCAATAATAACACAAACTAAGACACTATACCAGACAACATGCTCTCACTAGGAAACCCAGACCTCAGAGCACCCATGCATTCTTGGCCAGTCCTTTCGGACCTCCACCCAGCTCATCCTCTAAGAACCGAAGAACTATCATTGCCGCAGCTTTAAGGTATTTTTCCTCTTTGCATCTACCATTCAATTGGTCCAAGCTGTTACCAAGGAAAACTGATACTTCCACCAAAAGTTTTCCTTCTTACTTTAAAATAAGAAGATAGAATACTGAACCTGTACTTACCCACAAGGGCATAGAAAAAGCACCTGCCATTTAGGAGTGTTTTTTAAATGTCTTATATAAAGTAGCTAGTGGCCGGGCAGTGGTGGCTCACGCCTTTAGTCCCAGCACTCAGGAGGCAGAGGCAAGCAGATCTCTATGAGTTCAAGACTAGGCTGGTCTACAAGGGGTAGTTCCAGGATGGCCTCCAAAGCCACAGAGAAACCCTGTCTCAAAAAAACAAAAACAAAAAAAGTAGCTAGTGAAAAAACTGACATGCAACTTTCACTTTTAGAGTTTTTTTCCCCAAAAAATTCAATAAGAAAACAAAAAGAGAAAAATAATAATTAAAGTGCAATGGAAAATATGAGGTATAAGCTCTCTCTCTCTCTATCCTCCCTCCCTCCCTCCCTCCTTCTCTCTCTCTCTGTCTTTCTCTCTCTCTCTCTCTCTCTCTCTCTCTCCCTTCAACCATGATGGACAGCTCTGTGCCTTATTGTCCATGTAAATGGGTTTGAGAATCCGGGTTCCAGGCACGGAAATGGTGTCCTTAAGAAGATTTGTTCCCCTCCAATACCGTGCTTCCATGGACCACCAAACCTTGAGCACTGAAGACACCGCTGTGTCTGGGGCAGGGGGCCCTAAAACCACTCACATCTAGAACACAGCACAGGTTTGGCCATACTGAACAGAGTTCTCACTGCCCCATGAAAAAGAAAATGAAATATGCATCACTGTCTAAGTCTTAAGTACTTGTCTGTGGGCTGTTTTTCCTTTTTTTTTTTTTTTAATAATTTATTTCTGTTGTTAGAGACCCAATCAGGGCCTAAATATGCTGTGTAAGTGTTCTACCAATGAGCTACATTCCCAGTCTCTCTCTTTCTTTCTATCTGTCTGTCTCCCAAACTTCATCAGGGCTGGTCTGAAGTTTGTGATCAGCCTGCATTATGCATTAGCCTCCCAAGAAGCTGGGATTACAAGTGTATGCCACCATGTCCTACTATATCTACATTTCATTTCTCCACATTCTGATATGAACACAGCACAGTGCCTGTTAAATTACATTAATTACTAAACTGCCAATGCTGTGTTTATAACCATATAAACTGTAAGGGCTCTGTAATGCCAACTTTTACATGTATTTGCTGGACTTATGTAACACCTTTCCATCAAAAAGTTAGATTTTCCTTTTTACACTATTCTTAGGAAAAAATGTTCTGAATAATTTTAAAAAGAACAGACTTTGGTAATTTTATTCAAACTGTTATGCTGGCAGAAAAGAAGAATAAATTACTTTCTTGATAAGATTATAAGGCCTTTAAAAGAAGAAACGAACTGGGACTTGCACCCATTATTCCTGAACTATTTCTAATTTCAAATCTCTCCAAGGAAATTTAGTTCATCTTATTACTGAGTTTTATCTTATTACTAAAGGAAGATCAGAACAGGAAAAGTTGGTACAGACCTAGTAGATAAGGAATAATTATATCACTCCAGAGAAAGGTAACTAGAAACTTCCTTCTCACATAGCACATAAACAACTAAACAACTTACAGAATTTCCCATCATCGTGTAGGACTTTCCAGATCCAGTTTGCCCATATGCAAAGACACAAGCATTATAACCTTCAAATGCAGATTTCACGACATCTGTGCCCAGAGTTTTGAAAACCTAAAGAAAAAAAAACATACATATACATAATCACAAAGGATGCAAGTACCGTGGGTTTTAATAAAAGTCCCTGCAGTGTTGACAATATTTTTGAATGTTACTTTCATCTTGAGGGTTTACAGCATAAAAATAAATCACTGCCGAGCTGTAACAACAGAATATGTATGCACCCCAGTTTTTAATCAAAAGTAAACTTTCCAAGCAAGCAAAAAGCAACACCATCCTTTTTCCTACTTAAGCTAGCAAATGATTTCTGAAATAAAAATGTAAACAAGGCCAAGTGGCAATTGTGTCTAGAAGCAAAGATTTTAACACGTGATGTTAAAATTCAGAACTGCACAATGTATAAAGCTATTCATCTTATTAGAGCCTCCAGAAATTAGTATTCAAAACATAAAGGTCACAGTAGCCAGAAACTATTGCCTGAATCCTGCCAAATCAAAACCTTTATTTCTCAGGACCAGTATCCAGGAGACCTGGGTAGCAGAGTGCTGGGGGTGGGGTGGTGAATGACTGGACTCCCTCACAACTGGGCCTGGATGTATTTTCTTGTTCAGATACTTATCCAAATATTGTAGACATGGTAGGGAGACAAGAGGGTCACATCCACAACCTCAGTTTCTGTCCTATGCCCTACATAATTACTATTTGTGGGTAAAGAAGATGAAGCATGAATGCTCCAGGAGGACAGATAATGTAGATGAGACACATTAAAATGAGCCAAAGCTTTGTGGATGTCACAATGTCCTCTAAGGCCAGCACATCAAGGCCCCAACAAATATCTCTGCTATAAAGAGTAGGAGCAACAGCAGCTAGGGATGTCAGAGAATGAATGCCATCAGGTTCACAGTCAAGGCCGGGGATAAAAATGAGCAAGTGGGATGACCATTGTACAAGATGAGGATTCCTACAGTGATGAGCCCTCTGAGCCAACATCAGGAGACCCAGAAAGCTATTTCTCCCAAACTACCCAAGGCAGAAAATCCTAGGCTATGCTGGCCATGAGAGTACCTGGAGAGCTCTCAGAAGTCCCAGTGTCCAGGACAGCAACTCAGTTCAGTGAAGTATGACTCTCTATGTGAACCCAGGAGTCAGTATACTGCAAGACTTCTCAAAGGAAGGAATACTGCACCCCTGACCAAAGTCTGCTCACAGTTCAGCTGACATCTACAGTGTAACAAAAAATATAGCTCAATAGACTCAGGCTTTCTTCCCATCCTGTTTGCATTTCCTTCAGCTCCTCCAGTATAACTTACTAACTATAACCTCAACTGAAGTTCTTCCACGAATGGCTACAGCCACTTATTCTCAGTTAATTTTGACCCACTTCAGCTTGAGACACTATTATTTTCTGATTGCACTGTCAGAGTCTAAGGACTTATTCAATACCCAGCTATGAGAGCAGCTCACATTTACTGGGCACTGTCACAGGTTCATGTAGTAATTAAAAGTGGAAAGGGCTCAGGAACCATCCGATGAGGAAGCTGACAGGAAAGGTCAGCATCCAGGCCCTGGCCAGTGAGTGGCAGAGCTGCACCCTCATACAGGGCCTTGGCCACATCCTCTAAATTCACAAAGCCCTGATGCTAGCTGGAAGGATGTTATCCCCAAATTTCTGTGAAGCTAGAACCCCAGAGAGACTCAAGGATCCAGACCACGAGCTTGGGGCTCCTTTCACCAATACAAATGCAACGTAAGTAAAAATTCTAGTTCTCTAATTCTCTCAGATTGGAGCCAAAACAAAAAGGCTTCCACAGACATTTCAGGAAGGGACATTTCTCATAGCCTAGACTAAGGTAAAATAAATCACAGAAAACAGTTAAACTAAACTCTAATGTCTTCACAATTTAAATCCTTTCCAAGGCAGAGGGCCATGCTGACCCAGCCCTGCCCTTTGCTGGCCTTTGGAAAGCTGGCCCAGAGCCTCATGGGAAAGCTGATCCCTGCAGCTAGAGAGATGGCCCCACTCCTCATCACAGGCCAGGTAGAACCTACCCTGCCAAGTAGGGTAGGTAGATTCGTGGCCCCAGTGGTCCGAACTGACCAGCTCAGCTACCACCTAGGCCCACAAGCAGGTCTTGGGTTGGAACACCTTAACCTCCATCCTATTTAGGACCTGCTAGATCTTGTGAAGGGACTGGTCCTGTGGAATGATAACCACAAAGGTGACTGTGGGATATCCCAGAAGAGTTTCCTCAAGGATCCAGTGATGATGGTGTATCAGAAACCAGAGTCCTTGAACCAGACCAGTGAGAAAGCTCCTTTCAAAGGTGACCCAAGACATCCCAGGAGCTCAACAGCCAGGAATCAACCACAAGAGGGCACTGCTGAAACATACTGTCAGCTAGCCTGGCAACTGGGAGATTATTGGTTTCAAGCATCTCCAGGGTTGAATTAAGAAGTGGGTAGTATGAGAGAGATCAAAGCCTCCCACTGGACTTTTGAAGAACCATTAAGAAAATTAAGACCTTCTTTAATGGTCTTTAATTTACAAGCCCGTGGGTTTCAATTGCTCATTGATTTTTTTTCTCTAATTTTAAAATAATTGTTTGTTTTTTAGATTCTAAGGAAACTTTATAGTAGTGGACCTGACATCTTTTACCAATATACTTTGAAATTCAACTGATTAAAGCTGGAGAGGAAGGAAAGAGGGCAAGGTAGCTGGGGGGCTTCACGACCACTCTGCTCACCTCACCCCTCATCTACTCAACAGTGAACCCTTCACTTGAAAGAGGGCTAAATGAGGGATGATGGGGGAGGGCTTACTATTTCACAGATAACTGTTTTCCAGCATTTATGATGGCTTATTAACATGGCTTGGTAACAGCAGTGTGCTTTAGTTTGGAAATTCCACAAAACAATCCCAGGTTATTCTCTCTAAGAATCCCTGAAGCACGAAGAAGAATCGATGTGCAATCCCCTAAAGCATGGCATTTTCCTTGTGGGTGGAAAGCTTGAACAGTCTAGATTTCCCTCTAAACTCTGGACATTGGCTTTTAACTTCCAGAGAGAAGACCTACCTTTTTTTGTTTGTTTGTTTTATGTCCCTCATCTTGATTATTGTACATCTCAGGAAGTTAATACCTGCTCCCACAAATTAACCATCTACAAATTAGGTTAGTTGGTCACCAATCATTTTCCAGCCAGGTCCTGTCTTCACTAAATGCTCTCCATGCCCCTGTGTAGCCCTCTGTCCCCAAAGACTTCAAATTCAAGTAAAACAAGGACTTCCAATAGTCCATCAAATAGGTTAAAAATGAAGATCCTTTCAAGGCTTTTCATTCATCCTGTGTTTGAAGACATTCTGGAGATCACTACAATAAATCACCTTTCCCTTTAAAATTCCTAGTTCACATAATCCCCTTATGTGTAACAGAGCATGAATCTGGTTTCCATGACCATAGCCTTCTATGCCAGACTATGGTAAACTATTATTTTAAGGTGTGTGACTTTTGTTTATGCTGCACTTGTTTAACCCTGTGAAGCTGTGTTATTGTGCCTGTTATTGTGACTGTCTACTAAAGAGCTGAATGGCCAATAGTGAGGCAGGGGCAAGGATAGGTGGGTCTGGCAGGCAGAGTATAAATAGAAGGAGAAGCGAGAAATCTAGAGCAACAAGAGAACAAAGAGAGGAGGATATCAGGGGCTGGCCACCCAGTCACCGGGCCACCTGGCCACCTGGCCACCAGGCCACACAGCAAAACATGGAGTAAGTAAGAAAGAAAGGTATGCAGGAATAAAAAAGGATAAGCCCAAAGGCAAAAGATAGTCTGGCTAATTTAAGATAAGAAAAGCTGTACAGAAACAAACCAAGCTAAGACTGGGTATTCATAAGTAATAATAAGTCTCCATGTGTGATTTATTTGGGAGCTGGGTGGTAGACCCCTCAAAAAGATCTAAAGAGCAAAAAAACCAAAAGAGCCAAAAGAATAAAACATCGTACAACATAATGGCATTCTAAGGTGGGCCCTATTTCCATGTAGGGCCTGAGAAAGCTGAAAAAGAAGGGAAAGGACCGACTACCTTAAGGGGCACTGCTGTTTAACTGAAGGCAAGCTAAGTAAAAATGGCTTGTGGCAACACAGGTACTCACTTCCATAGCTAGAAAGGTTTAATGCAGTTCTCAGTCAACCAGGTTGTGAGTTCTAGGCTTGGCTTTCCCGACCTGAGAAGTTGGCAGTTGGCGGAGCCAGCTGGTAGAGCAGCATGCAGAGGACCCAGGTGTAGCTTAACAGTTTAAAGTCTGCTCATGCAGTCAAAAGACTAGAAAGATATGCAGTAAAAGAGGTCCAGACGGAAAAACCTCTAAACAGGTTCCAGTTTACAATGTGCGTAGGCTTAAGAAAGAAAAAGGGCATGGGCCGTTATAGAAAGAAATAGTTTAAAAATAAAATAAAATCTTTAAAGAGAGAGTAAAAGTAATAAAAAAGAATAAGGCATGAAAAGATGGGAAATACACAGGGAGTCTAGATCCTGTATGCTATTGTGTTGATTTTGAATTTTTTGATTGCTGAAAAGCAAAGAACAGCTGCTAAGAACCCTGGAATTTAAAGAGGAACTGTGGAAATAAAGCAGCCTAGATATTTTAAGACTGCCTTAAAGTTAAAAAAAAATGCATTTGTCAAATGGAACACAAAAATGCTTTGCAGAAGTGGTTTTGCTTTTGTTTCCACAGGACACAAGAGGCTGTGCATTTGTTCCAGGTTAATATGGATCTGGTCCGATCAAGGGAGACTGACTGAAACGTGACAGGTGATATCTACCAACAAAGGGTTAACTGGGCTTCCCAGGACTTGGTCATTCATTATCTAAAAAGTTTCTCTCTGGGATCTCTAAAGATGCCCTCACCCACATTCAGCAGGAAGCAGTCTGGAGAACACGATGCCCACATTCCCAATGAATGGTGTGGAAGCTTTTGGTTATTTTTTGGATTGTGGATGTTTGTTATAATTTAGGGGAATATAGGAACATAGGATAAAAAGACCACTATCAATCTCAGATATTTTGCCTTGGCATGGATTTTGGTATATGGATACAAATTCAAAGTCAATTTGTTATACTGTATATATGTTTTTTTTCTTGTTTAAAAGACTTTTGTATATTGATACAAATATAAGGTAATTTTTGTTATAACACACAATATGTTTCTACTCATGTTTAAAGGGTTTTTCTATATTGATACCAATTTGCTTTTGTTACAACATATTGTATATATGATTCTGCTCTTGTTTAAGGTATCGTACTATGGAGTTCATTTAAAAAGGTAAGGTAAAGTTCCAGTTTTTGAAAGCGATTATTAGAAATTATATCAAATTATTATCAAGAAACACAGGTCAATAGTTAGTCATCTATAAAAATCAAATTTGTAGATATGCTAGGTTTGCTTTTGAGATCACATAGAAATATATTTTAGATAGATAGATGGTCTTCAAACCTTTCAAAGGCTTACAGAATATGACATTTTAAATGTTTTGTTAATAGAGATTTTCATGACAATGAGACACATCTGCTCCTGGCAGCACTGATTTACTTCAGAGAAGATGATGGGCACTGAAGAAACTCTTTATGGAGTTTCCTTTCATCGTAGCAAGGTTAGCCACTGAGCAAAGAAACTGTTCTTGCCTTTGACTGTTTACAGTGTGCTGGGCAGACTGGACATGCAGGACCCACAGGAAAGTGACCACTGAACTTTGTCAAAACAAGGTGGGATGGTTCTACAGGGTTCCTGCTTCACAGAATAAACTGCCAGACATTCTGCAGGACACAGAGGAAAGTGACAGACAAACTGGCAATATAGGTGGGACAGTCTTTCAGATTTCCTGCTTCATTGAAAAGTCTGCCAACTCCTATGGGCCTGTAGGCTGAAGATAGATGTCCCAACGTTGCAAAGGAACTTTGGGTGACTGTCCAGGTACTCATATATCTCTGTCATTTGTAGAGTTTGTGGAAGTCATTTGCAATGCACTTTTTGTTTACTTAAATTATATATCCTTCTGATGCCTTTGATGGAGTTGAAGACTAGGTAGTTATAGTTGCAGTTTTCCTTAGATATGATAGAAAGTAAAAAACTTTGGATTCACTAATGCATTATTTTCTCTGCATATGCTAACTACAAATGGACAGACAGAATATTGTAAATTAATTCTTACTTGATAACTTTGTGTTGTATATAGTTCTATTATGTTAAAGTTAAAAACATTTCTGTTTATTTAGACAAAAAGAGGGAAGTGTGACATATTATTTTAAGGTGTGTGCCTTTTGTTTACACTGCATTTGTTTAACTCTGTGAAGCTGTGTTAGTGTGCCTGTCTAAAACACCTGATGGTCTAATAAAGAGCTGAACAGCTGGCCAATAGGAGGCAGGAGCAAGGATAGGCAAGGAAGAGGAGAAGCAGCAAGAGAAAAAGGAGAAGAGAACAGCAGGGGCAAGCCACCCAGCCAGCCACAGAGTAAAATGGAAAGTTAAGATATACAGGAGCAAGAAAGATAATGGTCCAGAGAGAAAAGGCAGATGGGGTAATTTAAGATAAGAAAAGCTGGCTTGCAACAAGCCAAGCTAAGGCCAGGCATTCATAACTAATAAGACTCTGTATGTGATTTATTCAGGAGCTGGGTGGCAGGCCCTCAAAAAAGCCAAAAGAGTAAAAAATATCTTCACAACATCAGACTGACTATCCACTGTCCGTATATACAGACCATCCACCATCCTTACTCTTTCCCACACCCCCACTCTCACCCCCTCATTTATCGATGTGATAGGAGGCTTCCCTCTCTTCCCACCTGGCAGCTGGAATCATTCCCTTTTCTCCCACACAAAAGCTTTCTCACATCAGCACCACACCTCAGCTCTGGTACTATTGAAAGGCAATCTGTGTGAACCTGAGCAAGTGACTAAAGCTCACAGAATATCCTGACAAACAAAACTGGAGTTTAAATTTGCCTTACTTGGTTCTTTGATGAATTTAACACGACAGAATACCAAGTATGTCTGACTCAAGAAAACTCAAATGTCAGTTTCTCTTCAACTCTTCTATCACACTGGGAACTCCCTGGCTACTTCACCCTTCCCCAGTGCTGATGTTTGAGTCCACAGCCTCTGGGATATAATCACTGCAGTACTCCAACCTCAACGTCTGCATTCTCTCAAAATGTCAGGTTCTCCTCCACAGACCACTTCTAAACCAGACACATTTCCTGAATGTCAAAGTGCATGATAGATAGATAGATAGATAGATAGATAGATAGATAGATAGATAGACAGACAGAATCATCTATCCATATATATATGGATATATATGAATGATTCTGAGTGGGGTGTGGTGGCCCATGCCTCATCCTAACATGTGGATAGGGGTTGGTGGTAGTGGTGGTCTTGAAATTCTACATTCTAACATGTTCCCAGGCAATACCACTGACTCTCAGAAACACATTAGTATTTTCATGCTCCAGTTTCCAGGATTACAACCCAGGTCAAGAAGAGCCAGGTAAACATGGGAAGATGGGAGGGCAAGGGAATAGGGGGGCGGGGTGGATATGTAAATATGAGTAGTAATTAAAGAATTAAAAAAGAAGAAGAGCCAGGTAAACATATAAAGACCTGAAACAAGTATCTGTGCTATCTAAAGAAGCTATTGAGAAGCCAGGGAGAGGCCCACTGATAATGAAGCCATTGTTCTTCCACCTAGGTTCCTGTGCCCTCAGCTCTGCTCCAATGTCCTGTTTCTGTCCACCCAGGAGTATATGTTTGTCATTCTGCTTTAATGAAATGTTATCAGTATCTTGAAGGTCATCTGGGGGTACCTTGCTGTCACCTATGTGAACCACATCTACATTTGTTTCTTGAGCAAATACTAACATCAGAATAGGTTGTAGATTCTGGAGAAGCACTCCCTTTAGAATTCTTTCTATAGCTTATAATGATCCACAAAGCAGACAGAATGTGGCTTGGGTTTGATATTTATTTCCTATGCTCTGACTCCTGGAGGAAACAAAGTTAAAAGGGTTTATTTCCAAAAAGTATACAGATGTCACCCTCCCAACATCAAAGGCTACACCTGAATGCTTCACGATGAGATCAATGTTAAAGTTTTAAAACCATTTATGTTATGTTCATCATACTCAAAATTGTGAGGAAAAAAAAAAAAACTTTAGAAGACTGAATTATCAGGCTTACATAAATACTCCCATCTGATAATTTAAAAACTGAATTAGTGCCGGGTGTTGATGGCGCACGCCTTTAATCCCAGCACTAGGGAAGCAGACGCAGGCAGATCTCTGTGAGTTCGAAGCCAGCCTGGTCTCCAGAGCGAGTGCCAGGATAGGCTCCAAAGCTACACAGAGAAACCCCATCTCGAAAAACCAAAAAAAGCTGAGTTAGCAAATGCTAATTTTACAGAAACTAAATTCAGTAAAAAAAGTAGTTGGTTTGTTTCTAAGTGTTTAGGGCAGGACTGTTTTTTTTTTGTTGTTTTGTTTTTGTTTTTTTTTAATAAGAAAAACAAACAAGAAGAGTTTGAGATTGTACCATTTCTTGTGAAACATAATCTGGACTCTTCGTGTCAGCAGAATAAAAAGAGAAGTCATAGGTGAAGGTCTTGGTCCGTTCTCTGCCCGAGTCCCCAGTTCCTCCTTCTGGTATCTAGAAAGACATTTTTGACAGTAATAATAAGAAAATGAGGTGATGGTAACAATAGCATAAAGAGTAATGTCAATTAACAAGTGACCCTAACTAAGAAATAAAATCTGTGACTAAAACACATAAAATGATTAACATTTGCAGCATGTATACTTTAATCAACACTTAATTCCTATTAGTCTCCCCAAAAAATGAATAAAAATAAATAAATATAAGAATAGGATCTGTATATATAACCACCAATTATGGTCTTTACTAATATAATTAGCTTACATGAACACCATGCCCAGTCAGACTCTGTCTGTTTCTCTTGCAAGACTGTTTCCTCTATGATGTCCCTCCCAGAGCTGGACACTGTACAACCTCTTGGGTGATGGACACTGATTCTGGCAAAAGTGGTGCCCTGTGGAACTGTGTGATTTGGTGGCCCCTTAAAAACTCCAAGTTAGATATCTCCTCTTCCATGAAACTTCCCTAGTACCCACCTAGAAATAATTTCCCCCTCTTTTCTGAATGAGAACATTCCTAAGATATATCATACTGTGATATATGTTTGCATACATCTTATGTTCCATACTCTGAGCTTAAATTGAACCCCCAAACTATCCACATGTTTCCAAAACCTTATACCTTGGAAATAATGCTAAATAATTTCAATGAACAGTATATTTTTTTCTTTTTCTTGGTGGGGGTGGTTTCAACACAGGGTGTCTCTGTGGCTTTGGAGGCTGTCCTGGAACTAACTAGCTCTTGTAGACCAGGCTGGTCTCAAACTCATAGAGATCCACCTGCCTCTGCCTCCTGAGTGCTGGGATTAAAGCCGTGTGCCACCACTGCCCGGCTCAGTATGTTTTTCAATAATCAACTTCTTTTTTAAAACAAATTGTTAAAAAATTAACAATGAAAACAACAGTATATTAAAAGTCTGAGTATGTCCCATAGGTGCAATAGTGGCACTAATGTTATTGAAGTAACCAACAATTGATAGGTTTTAAGGCTTACTCCCCAGAAGGAAATGCATGGCTGGTATGGACAAGAACCCAAAGCTGGTGTGTTCACAGGCCCTAGGGGTAAAACCTACTATTACTTTTGCTAAATGTACACAGTATCAAACTACCTTCTAAATTTATATCTTATATTCACAGATTAGTTTGGTTCTCAGACCTCTTCAGAGAAGTCTCTTTGTGCAGTGAATGATGTTTAACATGGAAATGCACAACTGGTCACGTGCAGAGAAAAGGTATCTATGGAGTGCTCAGCCATAAATGGCACATCTATACCACATGCCTTCCCCCAGAAGGTTCAGTGATCATTAGAGAAAAAGCACAGAAAGAGTTCAAGAGCCAGAGGTGGAGGAGGAATAGAGTGAAACAGTGTCTTCTAGACAGGACAGAACCAGACCACTACACTCATGAACTCGCAGCAGCAATGAAGACCTACACAAAACCAAGCTTGTCAACATTCTAGCCAGGAGGAGGGGGATCTTTAGGAGCTACCAACAGTTGGTGGCTACTAGAGAAAGGAAAGTCTGTTTTCTTGAATGGTCTATCTAAACCATGCTCCAGTGGTCCCACAGCCATGTATATACAGGCAGTACAAACTAGACTCGGTGGACTATACTTTAAAGATAGATAGATGAAACAGACAGGCAGGGATATGAAGTTGAGAAGATAGGGAATGAATCTGAGCAGTGTTAGAAAAAGCAGGGGTAAATGGTGACTATGATCAAAATACACTGTGTGCATAAAAGTTTTAAAGAATTAGCAAAATACTATAGTAAAAATAAATTATTAAAGGAAAAACATGACATCTATTCTAGTTACTCAGTCATCATAGAAGAAAATATGTATAAAACACAAAAAAGCAACAGAGTAATCAAGGAAAATCAATTCCATAATACACATGCAAGAGAGGATTCAGCCAAAGCACTGTGAGCACACACATGCATGAAGTAGCAGAAAGGCCACTACCAGAAGGAGGTGGACAGAACCCAAGCAGCTGAGAAGATGCTTAGGGGAGGCCAGGGAGAGTCATGGTGTGCTGAAGACGATGGTAAGTTCAGAAAGAAAGCGGTCTAGTAGAGAATTTCTCAAGGAAAGGAATACCAGCAGCCCAGAGCATACCCTCTAGGAAGACAGTACTATTCCCACTCCTGTATCTGGGGATCATGCTGTACTAATCAGAAAATGATCTTAGGGCATCCTATGCCCAGGACCATAAATTAATAGAAATCTATTCCTTGGACACTTGGCCTTGGAGCAGCAGGCCTCAGAAACACACCACCCACACTGAAGGCCCTAAACCTGAAAGCACATGATGTCTTTAGTATTACTTTTATACCTGTGCTTCCTCCTTGAGTGGAAGCACTCAAGATCCTTATCTAGTGTGCTAATGAAATAAATAGTATATTTTAAAGGCAAAAGAATTTACCATTGTGAAAGATTGTGAGGCTTTTTTCATCTAATGTTTTCCTGAAAGTAATGCAATTTTATTGTTTCCTTTTTAAGTGCTCATTCCTCTCAGCTAACAATAAACAACAGTTCTCAGATCATCAAGGATCAGAATACATAATGGATTCTCATTAAAAACTCGAAGAATTGGGGATATAGTTCAATTGTTAAGAGTGTCTGCCTAGCATGCATGAGGCCCCAGGCTTGATCTCTAGCATAGCATAAACCAGGTATGACAGTACATGTATACAATCCTAGCACTGAGGTAGGGGCAGGAGAACCTGAAGTTCAAGGTCATACTGGTCCATATTTGAGGTCAGCCTAGGCTACCTGAGATCCTATCTCAAAACTTGTCCAGTACTTCACAGAATACAGGCAACTATCAGGCTAGAATATAGGGTAGAAATGCCAGGTTCTTGTCTGCAGTCGGAACTCACAAACCAGGGAAACAGCTTAAGTCTGACTTTCAGGTTAGATGAAACCAGGGTGGGAAAACCATGAGAATCAGATCAATGCTTCAGTTTTAGGACTAAGCCTCAGCAGAGAGCATGCACACTGCTGACTACACTGAATCAGGGCAGCCACCTCAGAGGTGCAGAAGGCTCAGGTGCTTCATTCATCTGTACCACCCTCACAGAGAGCAAGTGTGGAGCTCTCAGAACTACAGCAGGGTAGAGTCATCACTTGCCTTTAAGTTTGTGATTGTCGTTTTGCTTTTCTCCATTTGAATGATAAACTTGGCCTCCAGGTCCTTTTCTCTGCAACATAGTAAAACAGTATGGGTTAGGAGACAAAAGATTATTTTGAAATAAACCTGTTTTATCTTCTTTTCACATAAGAGTCTTTGATTTTAAATGACATCTGAAAAGTAATCCCTGATAGCAATGCTCCCAAATCCTTGCTGAGGCTCTAAATATGAAGACACATGACACAGATGCCATCATCAGAAACTATGAGTAACACAAATGTGCTGCCAAAATCTGGAAGAGTTTCTAACATAAGACAAGTAATATGTCAGGCATGGAAGGCTGAGCATTCATAAGGCAGCCCTACCAGGCTAGATGAAAACCAAGTCAAAAGCTGGGATGGTCCAAATGTGGAATGTTTCCAGGAACAGCCAGAGTTCTGCCCCTCCTCTCACCATTTTGTTGGGTCCACTGGGAATTACACTTCTTACAAAGCAGTAAACAGGAAGTCAGAGAAATTCTGAAAAGCATAATTCTCTAGAATAGCTCTACCTGGGAGGCTGAGGCAGAGGAGACCATGAATTCAAGGCCAGCCTGGGCTACATAGAGCTATAATGTCTCAACAAGAAGAAAAGATTGTTTATCTATACAAAAGAATTCTAGCCAGTCAAAAAGGATGGACAAGCATCTCTGTACAACATGATGGCGTAGTCAGCAGTACATGATTTAAGTCGAGTGCAAGGCAGAGAAAAGCATGCAGGCAGTCCTCACCTTTCATGGTCTGACTTTTACTATTTCCTTCTTTGGAGAGAAAGCACTATACATTCAGTACTAATTCTAACTTGAATTCTGAATTTTGACCATTTCCCAGGCTAGTGACATGCGATCCAGTCCTCTCTAGTGATGCCGCACAGCAGCAGCAAGACTCAGATGCCTGCTGACCATGAAATCACAAGGGGAGGATCACATACCCTATGGTGTGCACTGCACATTGAACTGTGTTAACAAACTGGAAGGCTCCAGAGGTTACATGTACCCAGAGCACTTTGATTTATTATATTCTTAAAATAGGTTTAGGGGCAAAATCTTATCCCAAGTCCAAAGAGAAAATATCTAAAATGCATGTTGCTTATATGTAGAAAACAAAAGGGCAACCTCAGTCCTTTTCAAAAGGCTACATATGGAGAAAGAAGAAACTGGAAGAGAAGGGCAATGACAGGAGCTAGATTTCCCTGAATATTAATATATGCAAATATAAATTTACTTAAAACAACCTAAAATTCAAAAGAAGTTGAAAATAATGAAACAAACTCTGTACCACACAGAGGAAGAACATTTCCATAAGTCATGGAGGATTTTGACTATGCAATGTAACAAATCAGTTCTCTTTGGTGGTCATTCTGTGATTTTTATTTGTGTGCTGTGAGATAATTCATGAGTACTTATGCTGGTATCGCTAAGAGCTACTGCCAGTAGACCTAGTGGATTAAAAGAAACACAAGCACAAGGTGGATGAGGTACGGATTCTGAATGGGAAATAATAGCATGAACTTTGTTTAAATTTAAAGAAAGGGAGGCAAGGGAGGGATGAAGAGGCAGAGAGAGAGAGAGGAATGCACATTGCTAATCTGAAAATCTAAAATCCAAATGCTCCAAACTGGAAAGCTTCATGAACCCTGACATAATGCCACAAATGGCAATTTCACACTTGACCTCATGTGATAGGCCACAGTAAAAATACAGGCACATGAAAATGTTATACAAAGTATCTTTAAGTGAATCTCATGATTAGTCTCAGGTTCAACCCACAAGCTATTTCACTCTGTGTATGCTAACATTCCAACATCTGAAACAATCGGAATTCTGAAACCTACCTAGTTTCCAAACATTTGAGATAAGGGGATAAGAAGTTTTATCTACTAAAACAATCTAGAATCACATGGTCAAAGAATAGCCTCTAAACATCATTTGCCACTAAAAAAACCTCAGGGTTTCTTAAAGCAACTATTCAATCTAAATACTTAAACCTTCTCACTCAAGAAAGCAGGGTCACTACAGATCACTAGGGCTGTGGGAAGACAACTTCACAAACAACTGGGGGTGCTCCCCAGTGCTCACACCTTCTGGGCTCCCTTCCCCTTGCTGCAGGTTGAACCTGGGGAGAGTCACTTCCAGTGACTAGAACACAAGACAGCCCAAGTAGCATGCCTGGGGCTGATTGAAAAAAAAAAAAAAAACTGTAACTTCTACCTTGCTGACTTTCTCCTTATGCTTGTCCCTTCTTTTAAAGCCCTGGTGGTGGGGAAGGCCAGCTGCCGGACCCACAAACCATAGGTCATGTCAAGAGCTTTAAGCACCAACCTAAAAAATTAACACCGTCCAAATTTGAAAAATTGAGTAAAGCTAACTACAACAAAACATAAATATGTATCTAATCAAGCATATAAACTCTAAATTAAAAAATAAAAACTAATAAGTCCCCTTCAGAGGATGAAAGGCATTATATAGAAGTTTATTAGCAGATAGCTGTTCAATAAAAGGAGAGAATCAAACACACATCCCATATCTCCTCCTAACAGCTACTTCAAGGCAACTAAATGGAAGTTTCCCTTTTAAAGGAATCCCAGCTCTATTTGTAGAAGAAATAACAGAATTAAAATAGCATTGTGCTGCTGGGTGGTGGTAATGCTCACCTATAATCCCAGCAGAGGCAGGCAGATCTCTGTGAGTTCGAGACCAGCCTGCTCTACAAGAGCTAGTTCCAGGACAGCCTCCAAAGCCACAGAGAAACCCTGTCTGGAAAAACCAAAAAGGAAAAAAATAGCATTGTGCTTTTGTCCCTGGTGAGTTAATGACTCTACTCTGTGAACATCATGGCTACTCAACCAACCTCTGCAAGATGGTCCAGGTTGACAGGTCCTGCCTAAAGTACACCACACCTGGATCTCACTCCACAGGGAAAAAAATTTTCTAAAAGTTGTAGTGCATGGGATCTAGGAGACAGCCCAGTCAAAGTCCCTGCTGCACAAGCAGGAGAGGTCTTGGTTCAGATCCCTGGCACCTGTGTAAAAGGCTGGGCAGAGCAGAACATTCCTGTAATCCCAAGACTGAGAGGAGAAAACACAAGGATCCCTGGAACCACTGGCCAGTCAGTGTGGGAGAGTCAGTGAATTACAGGCCCACTGAAAGATCTGTCTCAAAACATAAGGAGTAACTGAGGGAGATGCCTGGTGTCCACTTCTGGCTTTCATACATGCATGTATATGCATGCACACACACACACACACACACACACACACACACACACACACACGTAGAAAAATACTGATAATGAGTAGACATTTGACATTAAGGGATTATAACTAGTGTTTTAGGTGTGATAAAAGTACCATAGTGACTTTAAAATATCTTACCCTAGAAAATAACACACACTGAAGTAATTCTAAGTAAAATTATCTGGGATTTACATTGATCTGACAGTAGGGAACCAGCTGAGGGTAACCTCCTGGCCATCTCAAGATTAAAGAAAAGCCATGAACAATAAACCCCCAAATTTATGTTGCAGTACACACCGTCAAGTCTATAGTGGATTCCCAGAACCAGGTTTGGCATTTCCAAGCCAGTCTTAAGAAGACTTCCACTGCATGACACCAGGTCTTAGAACTTACCCTTAGTCTACTTACACATGTTCATCTGACCATAAAACATATGGCTCCTCAAGCCACACTTTCTGGACAATTGACCATGAAGAGCATCCCCAGCCCACCAAGGGCTGTTCATGCTACATGTATCTGCACTGCAGACTACACCACCTTGGTGCCTGCCAATTCCACAGAGGCTCTTTTCCACTCAATAACCATCTCTGCCTGAATTTTGAGTTACAAAACACCTACCAATAATACACACCTCAGGTTAACAAAACAATATGCTCTCTGAGAATATTAGGTATTGTGTGGCTGCCTCATACCACTTGTCAATCCTTGCTTTTGAAAGAAAGTGTATTCACACCCTGCCTACCACCCCTGCCTTCAGCCCAGCACTCCTGGATCCCCATGGCAGAACCTCTGAAGTGGCTAAAATTACAACATAATTGTACATAATCACTTCTACCTCACTAAGGATCTCAACAGTACTTCTCAGTTGTAAATAAACACCTAGAACCTACTCTGTGAGAGCGCTAATAGGTGCCAATGAGAGACTGAACTGTAAAATAAGCATCTTTCTAACCCCATTTCCCAAATATAACCACTGATAGAGAAGAACTAGCAGAAACTTCAGAGCTGCCCAGAGATTACCCTGGCTGGGGAGTGGTGGTGGTGGGAAGGGCCCAGGGAACATGCACAGCTTCACTCTCCTGGAGACCAGAGCTTATCTCAAAGAACTTATCTCCCCACAGGACAGGAACACCACAACCTACGCCCCCTACTTCAACCCTGAGGCCTAAATCAGGCCATTCAAAATGTGCCTGGAAACCAGCAGCACAGGAAGCCCGGAAGGAATGTGAAATGCGGAGCACTATTCAGTATGGAGCACTATTCAGACCCAGGAATGGGGCACTGCTGACTCACAGCAGCCTGTACATGATCCTGGCGAGCAGTGAAGCCTAGGAGAGGTAGAGCCAGCATCAGTCTATATGGCATCTTGCTATTCTACTATGACATTTACTTTTAAGAAATAAGCTCCCAAAATAAGCACCATCTGCTTTTTACACAATAAAATTTACTTTGTTCTTTGACATTAAAATCTTATTTTTCCCCAACATGCTACTTTTATTAATTATTTGGAAATTTCACACAATGTACCCAATCACACTCACTTCCCATTCCTCCCAGATCCACCCTCCCACTCTTGCACCACCACCCGGCAAAATACCAAGTCCAATTTGTGTTGCCCATATACTCACTGCAGCACGGTCAATAAAGTTTTATCTCTAAAACTGCACAGCAGAATATAAGGAAATGGGCCAGCAACCCTCTGCTCCTAAGTGGTACAGAGACTTCTAACCAAGAACATTGGAACAGCAAGATCTCACCTAAAAAGCCATATGAGTATCATGGCAGCCAGGTTCTCTC